GACATGAGATCATGACCTAAGCTGAGGGCAGAGGCTTAACCCAATGAGCCACTCAGGCTCCCCTACATATGTATTTTTTTTAAGAGCTAAGTGAATTAAAAAACTTAAGGGTTAAACTTTAAAATATTTTGAAACATTTGTTATATGTATAAGTATATACATAATGCATATATATATATACAAATACATACATAAAACTAAGACATATTTCAAAATATTTTAATGTATAATCCTTAAGATTTTTAATCTACTAACTTTCTAAATGACACATTTTAGGTAAAAATAATCTCCATTTTTGATTGGTTGGGAAAACTAAACCTACAGTTAACAAAGGTTGAGTGTGTGGTATTAATTGATGTCCTGGATCCTGTTGCCTTGTGAATGTTTAAAATGTCCTAGGTCTTTTTTTTTTAAGATTTTATTTATTTATTTGACAGATAGAAATCACAAGTAGGCAGAGAGGCAGGCAGAGAGAGAGAGGAGGAAGCAGGCTCCCTGCCGAGCAGAAAGCCGGATGTGGGGCTTGATCCCAGGACCTTGGGATCATGACCTGAGCCGAAGGCAGAGGCTTTAACCCACTGAGCCAACCAGGCACCCCTGTCCTAGGTCTTTTCATGACATTGCAATAATGGACATATATTGTAAACTGGGATTTGATGCATGAAAAGGATCTGTCTACTAAAAACAACTAAACTAAACCTCTTTTTCTACATTCTTTTTGTCATCATCTCATTTCTACCATCATTATAGTCATTGATGTCTATGAATTCCACCAAGAACATTAATTCAACAGTTTGGACACAGAAGCTACTAAGACCACGGAGTTCAAATGAGTGTGCAATTGACAAGAGCAGCAGGAACACAAGGACCTTCTCAGGACCATCAAGCAAGCCCAATCACAGCTTACTGTAGAAGGCAATGAATGAAACTCCAATGCCATGTTGACTGTGTGTCCTGGGATAGAAATTTGATCCTGGAACAGAAAAGGGACATTCTTGGAAAAAAACGGAAGAATCTGAACAAAGTCTATTGTTTTTCTTTTAATAGTAAAATATCAATGCTAATTGCTTATTTTAACAAATGTGCCTTGGTTATGTAGGATGTTGACATAAAGTGAAAATGGATGAAGGGTATGCAGGAACTCTCTGCACTTTCTTTGTAACTCTTTTACAAACCTACAAATATTTCATAATGCAAAGATTTATTAATAAAAAATTAGCATTGAAATCTTGTGTACAAAGACTTGACAGGGCTTTGAAGCATAAAGTTTAATTCTAGCAAAAACTCAAAAACATTGATCAAGAGCAATACAGAATTAAAAGAGATATGCCAGAACAGACTGGAAAAACTTTTTCAATCATATTGCTTAAAGATCACCACTTCTTTGTAAGCAGTAATTCTAGAATGAAATCAGAACACATCACATATTTTAAATAATTTCACGTAGATAATAGTGTGCCCTAATTTAGTGTCAGACGAGTTATACTTTGGAGTTACCAGTGCTTGCTGTATGCATTAGAAATGGCATAAAGAACCTTCAAAGTTTCCATAAAAAAGACATTTATATGCAAATATGAAGGTTAGGGAAAACACTGTAGAATACTTTGACTAAATAAAGACTGTCTTTGGACTCTGAAGTGAAGTATAAAAAGCAAAACGCCTTTGTGAGGGGGTTTGGATTCTTGAGTTTCACCTGCAATATAAATTTAATTTTCCTCCACACTGAAGATTTAAAGTCCCATAAAGGTAAAAATCTCTTCAGGCCACTTTAGTTTTTCCTTTAGACAGATTATAATTCCTTTCAGGAAAAACAATCAGAAGAAGATTAAAAATTTTCAAAAAAATTCAGAAAGCTAGCTGTGGTTCTTTGCACTGATATTTTCCTACAAAATACAAAAAATGGGAGTGCTGGTCACTGTCCAGCCACTGTTATTAAACCTGTTATTGCTTCTCTGTTTTTAGTACATTGTGAGAAAGTACACAGAATTTGATTCAAAAGTTAGAAAACATGAGAGTATGGCTAAGTGGTATTTAGTGTCATTCTGCTCCTCCAAGGGATCAGAAGGTGAGAAGATTCATATCAACCTGCAACATCCTGTCCCAAATACAGCGTGAATCTGTGGAGGGTTGTTCTGTGTTTTTTGAGGGACCAGCTCTCAAGTGCATAGTTCTAAAAATTGAGTTAACTATTTTTTTTCCTTTTTAAGATTCTGGAACAGTATTGGAAGTAAAAATAACAAGAAAAAGATGACTACAATTTAAAAAAAAAACATAACTAAGCCTTCAATCCCATTTTCTTCATAGAACACATAATAAAATGTAAAAAGAAATTCCAGAGTAAACGCCATAAATAATAGAACTAATTAAATTGGGCAGATATCATACAAACTGAAATAACAGATTTAGAGATGATAATTTTTCTCCCTTAATTATAGCAGACTCTTCTGCATAAAGAATGAGTAAAATATCTCAACTATAATGAGCTATCACCTCATTGAGCCCAGTGAATTTGAATTTGCAATATAAAATAAATGCTGGTGTTTCTAAACTTCACTATTCTTCAGATAATTCACAATTAAAAGACATTCAAGGGGTCACTTGGGTAGCTCAGCCAGTTAAACATCTGCCTTTAGCTCAGGTCATGATCCCAGGGGCCTGAAATTGACCCCAGATGTCAGGCTCCTTGCTCAGTAGGGAGTCTGCTTCTCCCTCTCCCTATGACCCTCCCCCTGCTCATGCTCTCTCTCTCAAATAAATAAATAAAATCTTAAAAGAAAAGACATTAAAATTAAAATATTTGAGGGTAATTCATTATCTCATGCTACTGTATTAAGGTAATTTGTAAATTACTAGTCTAAATTATTAGTCAATTTCATTCAGACACAAATCTAAGCAAACTTTCTCATTATCAACTCATAATTTTGTGTCAAAATGCAAAATAACAAAGTGATTCAAAACTGTAGAAGCAATGTCACGAGATAAATGGATACCACCAAAAAAAAAAAAAAAAAAAAAAGAGAGAGAGTTTTTACAAGTTTAAGAGGCTGATATACTCTTCTTTCATTAGGATATGACCACTTACATGGTCAGAAATCTTTACATGTTTTAGCTCAAAATACATGCTTTAGGGGTGCCTGAGTGGTTCAGTGGGTTAAAGCCTCTGCTTTCAGCTCAGGTCATGATCCCAGGGTCCTGGGATCTAACCCCATATCAGGCTCTCTGCTCAGCAGGGAGCCTGCTCCCCGCCCCCTTCCCTACCTCTGCCTACTTGTGATCTCTGTCGGATAAATTAATAAAATCTTTTAAAAAATACATGCTTTAATCTCCATTTTATGGCTAGAATGTAGAAGGAAAGTTTGCTACTTTTTAAAATAATGCCTCTTTTTCTACTTCCTTTGTCAAGACAAACCATATTAGATTTAAAATAATAATTATTAGGCAAAACGGTGACCAAAAAAGCATGATGATAATTACATATGGCTGATATGTAATGCTTGGTCATAACTAACAATTAGAGGGCCCTTGAATTCAGACCATCTGGTTTCTAATCCCAGATCTGACAAATTGTGGTATGACCTGGGGCAAGTCACTTTAACTTTCTGTGCCTCCTTTTCCTCATCTGTATTTTGCAGACACTAATAGTACCTACCTCACAACGTTGTCACGACAGTTAAATTAGAAATAAAAACCGCTACTTAAGTGTTAGCTAGTAGTAGGAGCAGCAGCAGCAGCAGCTGCATATCTTGACAATTGTTCAAAGTCTTTCTGTATAGACAACCCTAATCAAGGCAGAATGTACTAAGAAGTTCACCTTACAAATGAAATGCATACATAATAACAACTCACTGAATTCCTAATAGCTTTCAGAGTTATAAACATGAATAATTTTATTTTATTTTTTTGAAATATTTTTATTTATTTATTTGACAGACAGAGATCACAAGCAGGCAGAGAGAGAGGAAGAAGCTGAGCAGAGAGCCTGAGGCGGAACTCGATCTCAGGACCCTGGGATCATGACCTGAGCCAAAGGCAGAGGCTTTAACCCACTGAGCCACCCAGGTACCCCTAAACATTAATAATTTGTCTCTAAACAGTATTATATAAATATAAAAAGAACATAAACTTAGAGAATGGGAATTACCTTTTTAACTTTATAATTACCTTTTTAAACTCCTGCCTATAGATAAAATCACATGTAAACTATCCTAACCATAGGTGATTTATTTAATATGTATTTAAATATAAATTAATGTCTAGTATTGCTCATAATTATAGATCTTCATTTTATTGTTAGAGTTTTGTGATACATATTTTTCGCTTGTTGTTTATAGCATCTTTTTTCTAAATTATTGTTGGGTTAATACTATTAAATTCTCTTTAAATCTATATTCTGCCATGTTGAATCATATAAAAGGAAAGAAAAAGAAATGTATTTTGATAATGTATAGGACTCTAGAACAAGTTCAATTAAAAATAGGTTAAATAATGTGGTTAGTCTGCATGAAGCAGTAAACATGAGGACATCAATTTCAACAGCAAGCCGTACTCAGTATTTCGGCACAAATGTTTTATCATATGATTTTAAATCATATGTTTTTATCATACGATTTATCATGTGTTTTAAATCATGTGATTTTAAATGTGTGACTTTATACATAAGTTATGGGTTGAACTGTGTACCCATAAAAAGTTATGTTGAAATCCTAACCCTCCATACTTCCAAATGTAAGCTTATTTAGAAATAAAGTCTTTACAAGGTAAACAAGTTTAAATAAGGTCATTACGCTCAGCTTCAATCTAATTTGACTGGTGTCCTTGTAAAAAGGGAAAATTTGGACACAAAGACACAAATAAAGGGAAGAGGATGCAAAGAAACCCAGGGATAATGTCACACGAAGACCAAAGACTGGAGTGATGCATCTACTTCAAGCCAGGACAGCATAGGCTACAAGAAGAAAGGCAGGGGAAGCTCCTTTCCTCATACCTTCAGAAGAAAGCATTGGCCTTGCCAACACCTTGACTTCAGACTTCTGGCCTCCGGAGCTGGAAGACAAGAAACTGCACGTTGCTTTAAGCCATCCAGAGTACGGTACTTTGCTATATAGCACTCCTAGGGAGACATGACATTTTACTAAAGGTAAAAGGGTATTTTTTCTGGTGTTTCATTAGCTGTCTTCCATAATCTTAATTTGAGTACTTTCAAACTGAAACTGGTCTATAAGGATATCATACGCCTTAGAAATAATCCTGAATCAGAATGTGTTACAGCACAGGCATAAGTCAGAGTTGTTCATCAGTAGATGTAATTGTATTCTCATACAGTCTATAAAATGTGTATTTTATTTATGCTGGAAAAATGGATTAGAGTTTTCTATGAAAAAAAGCTAGTGTAAATTTTGGGTTCTTTTTTTTTAAACTCGAATAATTTGTTTTATCTAAGACTGTTCTTAGTGAGAGGGAAAAAATGTGTTCTTGTCCACCTTTATTTGAATATTAAGTAGAAACATCTTAATGCTAATATTGGGTCAAGAATAACAATACTTAGGTAAAAGAGATATATTAAACCACATCCTACATATAATCTGAACCACAGAAATGAATGCATTATATAGTATGTATTAGTTATAACCGTTCAGCAGGAGCCAAATGCAAAATAAAAAATTTTTAAAAAGGAATCAACTAAAATTTCTACTATAAAACATTCCACTATAATTGAGAAACATTTTGTATCATCTTTTTTTGATGCTGAAAAAGTAAATTAATTCTTCAAGCCACAATGCCTTTGTTCCTCTTATAAAGAATATAACCTATTTCTATAATAATTGTGAGAATGATGAAAATGTTTATTTCTTTCTCTCCTACTCAAAAATACTTCTTTCTTCTTGGATTTCCTTCTTCTTCAGATTCAAAATTACAGATTTTTCTCTCCTTCCTGTGCACTAACTCAGTTTTTAACTCCTCAGATATTTTAGTCTTTAATGAAAAAAACTAATGTTTACAAAAAATTATGTCTATCATGCAATGTTAAAGCAGTTGTGGCGACAAAGTCACTGGCTGACAACTCCCAAGGAAGGAGGAAGTATATGATCTGGATGGAGGACAAGAGAAAACAAACCAAGAAGAATGACAAACTCAGGCAAACATAAAGAGTTGCAATCAATGATCAGAAGTGGATTTGAGGGGCGCCTGGGTGGCTCAGTGGGTTGAGCCTCTGCCTTCGCCTAGAGTCGTGATCCCAGGGTCCTGGGATGGAGCCCCACATCCCCTCATTGGGCTCTCTGCTCAGCGGGGGGCCTGCTACCCCCCCCCCCTTCTGCCTGCCTCTCTGCCTACTTGTGATCTCTGTCTGTCAAATAAATAAATAAAATCTTTAAAAAACAAACAAACAAACAAACAAACAACAAAAGAAGTAGATTTGATCCAGGCAAGCTGGACACAAAGGGAAGCATTGCACAGGATGTGGGTTAAGTGTACAGACTATGGAGTCATACCACATTCATTGACTATATCTCTTAGTGGCCATGTGAGCTACAGCCATAGTTTCCTTATCAACTAAAAAGAAGTAATACTATCTATCTCATTAGTTTATTGTAGGGATAGAGTGAGATGACCTTAGCTCTTAGCTCTTAGCACAGCGTTTGTGTGGCACGTTCTAAATATCGATAATGGCCACTAACCCTGTTAAGGCAAATAAGAAGTGACCCATTAGAGGCACCTGGGTGGCTCAGTCAGTTAAACGTCTGCTTTCTGCTTAGGTAAGGATCCCAGGGTCCTGGGATTGAGTACTACATTGGACTCCCTGCCCTACAGGGGGTCAGCTTCTCCCTCTCCCTCTGCCTGCTGTTTTCCCTGCTTATGCTATCAAATAAATAAAATCTTTAAAAAAACAAAGAAACTGACCCATTAAGTATCAAAACTGGCCCAAGAATTATTTTCTGCATCCTTTCTTTTAATCTAGCTGACTATAATATTTTGTGTGTCTACTGGAATAAAGTATCTATCATTTCCATATCAACATTGATTATATTTTCATCTAGACCTAAGGCCTTAAGATATCAATACCTTGATAACTCAAATTTATGTCTCCAGGCCTCGTGTTTCTTCTGGAATGTATATTCAATTTCCGACCCAGTTTATTTACTTTGGTATCTATAGATGTTTTAAGTGGTCCCTATGATCCTGATCTCCTGGCTTTCATTCTCTTGTAGAGTCCCCTCCCCTTGAATATGAGTAGGATCTGTGACTTGAATATGACAAAGATATTAGGATATCACTGTTGTAATCATGTTACATTATATAAGTCTCCATCCTCCTAGCTGACTTGCTCTAGAGTCTTGCTTTCCCTGCTGATTTTAAAAAAGCAAGAATCCATAAATCCTAAGGCTGTGAGGAAAGGAAGTTTGCCAACAACCTGAATGAGCCTGGAAGCAGAGCCTTCTCCAGGATCATGTCACGATGAGAAACCCAGCTAGCTGACAGGTTGTTTGCAGGCTTGCAGAGAACCCAGCTAAACCATGTCCAGACTCCAACCCCACAAAAACTGTGAAATAATAAATTTGTATTGTTTTAAGTCACTAAATTTGTGGTGATTTTTTTATGCAGCATAGAAAATAAATACAGGGATTTAACAAGCACCTTCTCACAAATTAAGCCTGTCCAAAATAGAGCATCCATCCCCCTAACATTCAAATCTGCCTCCCTTTTAGTGTTTCCTATTGAAGTTAATGGTCCCACCATTTACCCAGCTGATTAGTTAAAACATCTTGGAACTATTCTTGATGCCTTTGTGCCTCTCAAACTGAAAAATCCTATCAGCTATGTCCAGAAAAGTTACACTTTTTATAATCACTTGGTTCTAATCATTTGCCTGGGCTACTGCAATAGCTTATTTTCTTCAATTCTTGACCCTCTAGAGTCTATTTCCATACAACATCCTTTAACGGGTAAATCATTCCTCAATTCCCTGCTCTCAAGTCTTCCAAACATTCCCATGAGACTTGGAACAAAATCCCAATCTTTTATATGGCTTGGGGCCCAAATGATTTGGCCCATGAGGAACCTTTTTTTAAAATCATATCCTACTCTTCCTTCCTTATTAGTTTTTCTGCAACCATACCAATCTTCTGGCCAGTTATTGAACACTCCAAGCAAATTCTCTACTAGAGTTCTTCAATTTGGTCTGCCTTAAATAATTTTCCCTTAAATACTCTCACAATTGGGATTACTTCTTTCCCAAACTTCTACTCACATATTATGTCTTCATACAGGCCTTTTATGAATGACTCATCTAAGAGAGAAAAACTGCATGACACCTATTTCACTTGCCTTATGTTTTATTTTTTTATAGTACTTATTAAAACTATCATTATTATTGGGGCACCTGGGTGGCTCAGTGGGTTAAAGCCTCTGTCTTCCGATCAGGTCATGATCCCAGGGTCCTGGGATTGAGCCCCGCATTGGGCTCTCTGCTCAGCAGGAAGCCTGCTTCCCTTCCTCTCTCTGCCTGCCTCTGTGCCTACCTGTGATCTCTGTCAAATAAATAAAAATCTTTAAAAATTTAAAAAAAAAACTTATCATTATTATTGAGATAAGGAAACTGAAGGGACCCCAGGAAGGACTGCTTTTTTGCTGCCTATATTCTTGCTAGGACCAGTACCCCTGCCTTACATGTGTCTCACAGCAGAGAAAATGTATGTCCTCCTTGTATGCATCAAGGTGTTAGTAATTTCTTTGGAGACTTCCAGCACAATAGATAACATCTAAGGCATGACCAAGTGAAGCCATGCTGTATGTATTCCAGACCACTGCACTAGATATCTCAACACCAATACCCTGTGGCTGTAAGAAATAAGTGACTTTACAGAGGACCTTGGACCCTTGTTTTTGTTCTGACCAGTTCTTACATGCATGAGAGGACCTGTACACCAAAACAGAATCCTCATTGAAAACCCTAGACCCCCAAAAAGAGATAAAACTCTCTCTCCTTTCCTTTCTAAGTCTCCCAGATGCTCTGTCTGTATCTACACTATATATTTTCAATAAAATCTGCTCTCACTTCTTCTCAGCTTGCATTTGATTTCTATCATTCATGAAGCCAAGGATCCTCTTGGCTGGTCTTGTGGAACACCCTCTTTGGGTCCTCAGACCAGGCCTGCCTACATCATTATCATCTGTTTATCCATTTCTATTCTGTCTTCTCAGTAGAATATAAGTTACATAATGCTAGTAATGTCTGGTTTTGTTCATTTCCATAAGCTGGAACACTACATGGTAAAAAGTAAGTAGTTGACCAATTTTGCATAAAATTGCTGTTGAAATCATTTTTGAATCCTTCCAGGAAAAAATATTCTGCCATAGTGCTTTAAGAAGTTCAAAATATCTCATAGAAAAGTGCAAGAGTACATTTCAAACTTTCACTGGAAATTTAATGCTAACTAACCACAAAACTATATTCTGTCTTCATCTTTTTGTATTGTCTTAAGAAATTATTTAAGGGAATTATCCTCATGAAGTCATGAGTATCTCTACTATAGCTCTTGATTTCTCTCTCAACTCTATCTCAACAATCATTTTTTACTAACCAAGCTACATCTCAACAATCATTTTTTACTCTCCAATGTATATTTAATGCAAATAAATAGAAAATAGTGCAGCAGAAAAGTAAATAGCTTGTTCTCCAAGAATGCTAATAGTGAGTATAAAAGTCAGGTTTGTAGTGTTATCCGACAGAGGCCAGAGACTGTGTCCATGGGAGATCTGCTTGTGGTGACACTATCCATCATACTGTCACTGTTTGACAGTCACAGACAAGAAGAAATACCTAGGAATTACAAATGAATTTTCTCACTAACAATTTATAGCAATTTGCAGGACATTGTAATTGGCACATTTTCTTCATATATGTTCCATATGTTACAATAAAAAAAGGAAGCTGCTTTTTGTAGGTTATTTTATTCAAGAAGATTTTTTGCCAACAGAGTAGTGTAATGTGTTAATGAATTTAGTCAAATTCTCCCCTCTCTTGTCTGATACAGTGCCTTTCTGCTTGAGGAATGGGTAGCTTAGATGATTTATAACAGAATCCACAACCTTTCACCTGCAAGTCACCAGTTTGAACCCAACCTAGTCCAGCAATGAGAGACATTTGTTTCCGCAGGCAGCTCAGAGGCTTGCATGAAATGAATGGGAAGTCTCTATTTGCTTACTGGACCTGAAATGATAGTTACTTGAATTAGAAATATATTACGCTGTGAGTAAAGACCTACATTATCATTATAGTAATATTCTTTTTCAAGGCCCTGAAGTTAATATATGATACTGGCTGGTATTCAGTTTCAGACTAGAATTTTACTGAGGCAAATTTACCTTCAGTATTTTCAATGTTCTCAATATTAAAGAAGTACTATTTTAATTTTTTTAATAATTAAAACTTACAGGTGATACAGTAAGAGAGAGCAGAACTGGCTACCCCAAAATATGTCTCTTTGGCATAAGGATTATTCGAAGCTAATTATTATTTTTTTAAACCACAAAGGAAAAGCTCTGTAAGCCTAGAAGTTATCTTTTTGTAAGAGACATTTTTACATTTATAAGGGAAGTCTCCAGTGTTAGGGTTTCTGCCTCTCTGTACCAGGAAGAGAAGGAAGACTCTAAATCCCTAGAAATTCTTATCAATTGAGAAGACAACAACCACAGCTGCAGAACATAATGCTTGTTTATTGTTCTTTGCCTGGTAACCTCCCATAACTGACTCTCCCTTCCTCCCAACATTCCCCCCCCCCTTTTTTTTGGGTCTTTAGCTGAAGATATTATTTAAGGTAGTGGCTTGGGCCATTTTAGAAAGTTACTTAGTTCCCCTGAGTCTCTCCCATATATACAATAGGTATACATGCTATTAAAATTGTTTTTCTCCTGTTAATCTATCAGTTATTACAGGGGTTGGGAGTTGGGGATGTCTCAGCCAAGAACCTACACGGGTAAGGGAAAATTATTTTTTCCTCCCTTATAGAGACAAACCAACTATGTGTATAATAATTAAGGTTTTGCCTCAAATTTATATTTAGTTCTCAGAAGTTAGGGTGTCACCTTTTGTAGAGCTTAAATAGCTTTTATAATATTTTTTTAAAAGATATATTTATTTATTTTAGAAAGGGATAGCAGGAAGAGGGGCAGAGGGAGAAGGAGAGAGAGAATCCTCAAGCAGACTCCCTGTTGAGCTTGGAGCCTGACTTGTGGCTCCATCCTGGCAACCCTGAGATCATGACCTGAGCCAAAATCCAAAGTCAGCTGCTTAACAGACTGAGCCACCCAGACACCCCCAGGTTTTATAATACTTTAAATTCATTCATTCATTAAGTAATTGAAAAGTAAATTCATAAAAGGATGTTTTCTGAAGACATTTCAAAATAAGGGGAACAATATCTTTCTCTATTAGACTAACATGTGATCCAATGGGTGACTTAGACAGAAGTCAGTCAGGTTAATTGGGACCTTTTCCTTTTACCTTATTTTTAAAAAGATTTTATTTATTTGACAGAGAGAGATACAGCGAGAGAGGGAATGCAAGCAGGGGGAGTAGGAGAGCGAGAAGCAGGCTTCCTGCAGAGCAGGGAGCTGGATGTGTGGCTTGATCCCAGGACTCTGGGATCATGACCTGAGCCAAAGGCAGATGCTTAACGACTGAGCCACCTAGGCACCCCGGAATCTTTTTCCTAGAAGCTTTCAAAGTATATGTAATGGGAAAAAAGTTATTTTCACGATAACTTTTAAAATATATGTTATTTGTAGGAGCCTCCATAGAGTCTCTATGCTCACTCTAGTGGTTAAGGTTGTCATTAGAACTATTTAAAAATATTCCATCTGTCCCTCCTGGCACACAATAGGGTATTACACTTCCTTGGCCCTACCAAAACTATGTGTGGACATATGACTTGCTTTTTCTAACATATGAGTGGAGATAATATGTGTCACCTTTCTTGCTGTTGCCATGATCATGGAAACATAAATCCACCTGATGCAGACCTCCTACCAACTTGCACTGCATATGTCCCATGTTCAAGAAATTTAATTTTAAAATATCAAGCACTTGAGATGCAGGGGCTATTCATTACCAGGGAATAACACAGCCTATCTGGACACAGAACACTGATATCATATTTTGTTTCTAAGAACACAAAGGTAGAGAAGCCCAATGCCTGAAAATATATGTGTTAGAAATGGTTAGGGCAAAGCAAAAAATGGGAGAATCAGAGGGAGATCTATGCACAGAGAATTATATAAATTATTGCGGGGAGAAAAAAAATAAAGAGATTTTCATTGTCTGGCAAATGAGAAAAGAAGACATGAGAATTGATTCCTCTGGAGATTTTTAGAGAGGTAAAAATATTATGTGGTTTAATATAGTATATGTCCTGTGCCCCCTTAAAGCCTTCTCTTTTGTAGGGGCCAAGGGTACCCACCCCAAGAAGGGCCACTTTGGCATAAACATTATTGTGACTCAAAAGCAATCCAAAGCCAGCATTTTCAGAAAAAGCTCAACTGCTTGCTTTATTAGGGAAAGAGCTATTAACAGAGATGCCTCTTAGTACCTGAGAAACTTATCTGTGTAACAGATCTTCTTTGTTTTTCAAACATCTCCTTTCACTTTCCTGCTAATGGTCTTTCACCTGTTTGATCTTCAGGCCCCTATCCTTCTCCTTAGCTCATATATACATCATGTTGCCTGTCTTTGGAATTTCCATTTCTTGGTGGATTCCCCCATACAGATGCTATTAAATTTGATTTTCTCCTGCTAATCTGTCTCATGTCAATTTGATTCTAAGTCCAGGTAGGACCTTGAAAACTAGAGGAAATTCTTTCTCCCCAGCACCTCTAATGGGTCTTTAGTAAAATCTGTTTTTCTCACTACTCCGTGAGTGTATTCACTTTCAGGGACTGGAAAAAAAATTTTTTTCAAGGATACCACTAGAAGAAACCAAAAGCTACCAATGAGAGGCAACATAATTTCTTTCCTAGAAGATAAGCCAAAGTTATATTTATGTGGCTAGAAAATCTACAGGCTTTATTGTGATTGATATTTAGGTATTGATTCAACCAATGACTGTGAGTATGTGTATTACAACTATAGGAGCAGGAAAAATGTGTGTGATGGGAAGGGAGGAGCCAAAGAGAAAAAATAAAACCTCAACTAAGGAGGAATTCAATAGATATCTGCAATTGAAAATCAGAAATATTACTATGTACTTATTTAGAAACATGGACTAAAGCACTAGAAAAAAGCAATGAAATGACTTAAAGTGTTTGTCTCTGGGTAATGGGATTTGGGAGTAAGAAGCATGGAGAAGTGTACAGAAGAATCAGTCCTTCAAAAAAAGATACAACTATTATTTAACAAAAATTAAATTGTATAAATAAAATTAAAGAAACAAAAGCTTACACTTTCTCATTTTTAATCATCTAACTTTGTTCTGATGACTTTGTTTAATGTTTAATATTATTGTAATTATCAAAGAAAAATAAGTGCTCATTTTTTAAACCTTAGAAATTACAGAAAATTATCATTCTAACTTGGCTACACTTCCCTAGCCAGTGTCTGGAGTTGTTCCTCACACAGGAAATGATGATCTCAAATGAATTAAAGAACCACTTACCTAAAGATCATTGTTCTGCTCGAACCCTGAGACTTTCTTCCACCTCAGTGTCCACAGGACACAAAGTGCCAGCTAAATAACTAATTATAAATGGAAATTTCCAATTGACAAATGTAAGAAGAGTCGATGCAGATTATCAGACCACAGAGCAATGCATGTTATTCAGAAAAGACTTGAAATGATCAAGAAAATCATTACCTGTGATGATTTACACAACTGTATTCTTGTGACAAGCAAGAATGGGCCATTAATCTATTCCATTGAAGGCTTTTTGATCAACCAACCTAGTAAAGAAAATAATCACAAAAGGAAATGGAGGGTTGTAGACTTAACTTTCTTCTTTTTTTCCCCCTTGCTTCATTTCTCCCTCCCTCTCTACTTCTCTCTCCCCCTCCCTCCCTTCTTCCCACCCTACCCTACCCCCATCCTTTCTTCCTTCCTTTTCTGCAAGGAGCAAGTGAAGGAAAAGTAACTCATAGTAAGTAAAAAGGGTTTCTCCTCAGGAAGCAGAGTTGTTTCAGGTTCAGGATTCAGCATAGAATCAATCTTAGCTGAAGAGCAGGGGGAGGGAAACAGGATTTACCAGGCACTTTTTCCGATGTCTGTGACCTCCAGGGCTTACCATTCTTGTTGATGTTGTTTTTTGACTTGTAGTTTTCTAATGTTTCCCACTAAATCGATTATTGCCTTTAGAAGTAATTTCATGGCTTTTAGAGTACTATAGCTTTATCTTTCTAACCTTCATGCTGCTGTGAAAGATTGGTCTCATTTCTTGTTAATTCTGATTCTTCTTTGAGGTTATGCTTTCCTTCTCCAAGGGAATCATCAGGTATCGTTTTATTAGTCGTACACATCATGCCACCTCTGGGGAATTTGTATGGCTAATTCATCTTTCCTGACAACTGCCTAAATAAATGGTAGCCAGAGCATTTGTTTTATTTCTGTGAACTTATTTTATTGCTTGCCACCTTTCACAGCATTGAGCAAGCAGTCATAAAGACCAAATAGACAAGGATTTTCTTTTTCCAATATTATATTTAATGGCCAGTTTTAAATCATTTTTGTTGCAAAACTTTTTAAAGATTAGTTTAACCCTACATTTTTTTTAATCTGATATATTCATTTCTTCTTGTTTGGCAACAAAGGGTAATGGAAGAAACAACTCACTAGTATTAGAGTCTGCATTCTGGTCCCAGCCCTATACATGACCTCACACAATTTACTTAAGTCCTCCAAGCCTCGGTTTTATAATCTATAAAATATAAGAACCGACCTCTGAAGTTGGCCTAAGTTTTAAGATTGTGTTTCCAGTAAGAAAAGATATCGCCCAATTGTCAAATGTTTAAATACCAAAAAGTTCACCCAAGAGTAGATATTACCTTCCATTTATTAAAATAATGTCTAAATGTCTCAGGTTTTTTGTTTTTTGTTTTTTTAAGATTTTATTTATTTATTTGACAGAGATCACAAGTAGGCAGAGAGGCAGGCAGAGAGAGGGGAAAGCAGGCTCCCCGCTGAGCAGAGAGCCCCAATGCAATCTCAGGACCCTGAGATCATGACCTGAGCCCAAGGCAGGCCTATTAACCCACTGAGCCACCCAGGCGCCCCTAAACGTCTCAGTTTTTTCAAAGATCTTATTATGAAATATTCTTCTGCAAATACATAATTAACAGTAGACTAACAGAAACCAGAATCACAAAAGGTTACAAAGTTTGTAATAAGGTCTCCAAGTAAGTTAGTAATTAGGTATTTTTTCATTCTTCCTACAAAAATCAGCCTCCAGAGCCTAAAATATTTATTACTTGGCCCTTATCAAAAAAAGTTTTCCAGCTCCTACAATTAATAAACAAATGAGAGAGAAAGGAGTAAGGGGGAGAAGAGTACATCACCCCAAAATATGCCACACTGGCACATGGATTGCTTTGAAACAAAGGCAACTAGGACCCAGCAGACTCAGGAAAGTTTATTTTGTTGTTGTTGTTTTTAACCTCTCCTTTAACTGCCTAAGAGAATTTTTATAGAGGCCCCATACAAGGAAGAGCTATTAACCCCAGAGATGACTTTTAATATCAGCAAGACTTATCCGCATGGCAAGACAAACTTTTGTTTACCACACATTTGCATTTCTCATTTTCCTATGAATTGTCTTCCAGGCCTTTGAAGCCCCACCCCCCCACCCCCACCCCCTTCTCCTTAGCTCAGGATAATACATAAACTTCAATTAGCCTGACTATCCAGGAGTCTCTCATGTCTTTGGTGCTTTTATACTATATGAAATTAAATTTGTTTTTTTTTTCCTTTGTAAATCTGTCTTATGTCAATTTAATTATTAGAGTAGTCAAAAGAACCTAGGGAAGATGATAAAAGTTTTCTATCACTGCAGGATAAACCTTCCTTACAGAAGCATTCCAAAGATTAAATATAGAAGTGTGAGAAATAGAAAATCACCATTAGAACACAACAGTGATAATTACAGCAAACAAGATTCACTGACAGATGGCAAAATTTTAAGGTAAAACAGGATAATTGCATAGTAACAAAATACCCTCCCCATACATATTGTTATGGTCATTTTAACACATACACAAAATTTTGATATTCCTCCCCCCAGAGAATTTAGTTCGATTCTCCTACTTTTTTGTATGGGCCAGATTTAATGACTCAGTTGGAAACATAGGAAAATAATATATAAGAAAAGAAAACTGTGACTTCACAGTGGAGAAAGCTGGTAGATGCAATCTCAAACAAGTAATAAGATTGAGTTTACATTGTGCATATTGGTATCATGTACCTTTGGTAGGAGGCAATGAGAAGGGCATTTCACCTGTGTGGTATTCTTCCCCAAGACACAGAATCTCAGTGTAATCATGAGAAAATGTCAGATGTGCTCAAATTGGGGGATGTTCTACAAAATATCTAACTAGTAATCCTCAAAACTTTCAAGGTCTTAAAAAATAATATGAGAAAATGCCATAGCTGGTGGAAACTAAGAAATGTGCCTCTTTTGAATGACCTTAAATTACTGGGACCATTCAAACATGTTTTCTGAAAGGGACTCAGAGTGTATATCAAACATTCATGGACGTCTTACTGCTTATGACTGTGGACAATTTCTTTAACAGCTGAAGTGTATAGACATGGGACTATATCTTTATCATAGTACAGGATTATAAAGGTATCAGGTTATAATGTGAGTCTGAGTTGAACACAGCATGCTAAAGCTCATGTATATTAATGTATAAACAACATAGATATGACTGTTTCTTTTTCTTTTTATTATTATTATTTTTTTTAAGATTTTATTTATTTATTTGACAGAGACACAGCAAGAGAGGGAACACAAGCAGGGAGAGTAGGAGAGGGGCTCAATCCCAGGACCCTGGGACCATGACCTGAGCCGAAGGCAGATGCCCAATGACTGAGCCACCTAGTCGCCCCATGACTATTCCTTTTTAAACAGGAGATAAATTGTGAGTATTAAATGAGTAAAAAGAGACACTGAACTGAGTTCCACCATGAAAAAGAGATAGCTATAAGGATTGGAACTTTGTTGTTTTGCTTTGCTTTTTTTAATATTTTTTTTTTTTAAGTAATCTTTCCATCCAACATGGGGCTCGAACTTACAACCCCAAGATCAATAGTCTCATGTTCTATTGACTGAGTCAGCCAGGCACTCCTGGAAGTTTGTTTCTAATTTTGCTGGTTTTTTAAAAAATATATATATCTATTATAAGGAAATGAAAGACAAAGTGTGGATAAAATGTTTTATAATAATCTACTCTTATACGACAATTCTTGACAAAGTGATGATGTGTCTCAATGCTAAAAATACTGTGAAGTTAAAAAATAAACTCTTGAAATATACATGTGTTTCATTACAATTGCATGTACCAGTAAAATAATTTTTCCTAACAGCAGAATATGAGGAGGTATCTCTCTCCTTTCTGTTCTGCCTTAAAGAGAAAGTAGCCCGAACATTACCAAAACATATTCAATTTTTTGTTAATCATTTCTTATTGAATTTGAATCATATAAAAACAAAGGATGCCTTATACCCTGGACAAAGTTTTTAACTGTGAATTGTGCATTCACACTGTAACAGATGAAAGAAGTATCTGGTTACTAGGGCAAATTAGGTTTCTTTTAGGAAATTTACTCTAAAGCCCCTACTCAAAAAGCTATAATGACTACCTAACAACCTTCACCCCAGTATGCTTGCTTTGTTTACTGACTTGCATGTTTGCTAATGAGTAACATTAACATTCAACAAGAACTTGGCACCAACCTAACTGGATCTCCATGGGTGCTCATGATTTCAGTCAAGCTAATTCCTGCTCTAGCCATACTGTAACCTCCTTGACAAGAGGACACTTGAATACAAGATCCCTCTTTTTTATAAGGATATTTAAAAAGTGTTGGCAAAGATATGGGAAAAAGGGAACCACTGTGCACTCTTGGTGGGAATGTAAGTTGTGTACAGCCACTATGGAAAACATATAGGGGTTCCTCAAAAAATTAAAAATAGAATTACCATATGACAAGTCCATTTCTGGGCATTTATCAAAAAAAAAAACATGTTAATTCAAAAACATAAAGCATCCCCATGTTCACTGCAGCATTATTTACAATAGCCAAGATACGTAAACAACTTAAGTGTCCATTGACAAATGATGGATAAAGAAAATGTGATATATTTATACAAAATAATATTATTCATCCATAAAAATGAATGGAATCTTTCCATGTACAACAACATGGATGGACCTTGACAGTAATATGCTAAGTGAAATAATTCAGAAAGAGACAAATACCATATGATCTCACTTACACGTGGAATCTAAAAGAAAGAAAGAAAGAGAGAAAAAAGCTCATAAATACAGAAATAGATTAGTGGTTTGGTTGCCAAGCTGGTGGGTCAGAGATGGATGAAATAGGTAAAAGGAGTCAAAGGTACAAACTTCCAGGTATACAATAATTAAGTTATGGGGATATAATGTATAACATGGTGACTATAGATGATAATATTTATTGCATATTTCAAAGTTGCTAAGAGTAAATCTTAAAAAGTTCTTACTCCAAGAAAAATAAATACTTTAGCAACATATGGCAACAGATGTTAACTAAACTTATTGTGGTTATCATTTTGCAATATGTATAAATATTGAATCACTATGTTGTACACCTGAAAGGAACATAATATTGCATGTCAATTATACCTCAATTTTAAAAAGTTTAAAAAAACATTAAATAGGGGCTCCTGGGTAGCTCAGTTGGTTAACTATCTGACTCTTGATTTTGGCTCTGGTCATAATCTTGGGGTCATGGTATTGAACCCTGCACCAGGCTCCATGCTCAGCATGCAGCCTGCTTGTCCTTCTCCCTCTGCTCCCCCTGTGCTTGCTCTCTCTCTCGCTCTTTCTCAGAGAAATAAAATCTTTAAAAAATTAAACATGAGAATATTGTATAATTTGCCATTTTAAAATATATAAGGTTCACAAACATTTATACCTCAGCTAAAAGTATATTACCTACTATGATTTCATCAATTTATAGACTAATGCAAATTTACCATCAAGTATTTTAAAATTCTAGTTCAGACCAATAAGGAAGCAAATTTTGATGGCACAATAACACCTTATTTGATTTTTTTTGTTATTGTTGCCTCTTAATAAATAATCTTTAATTTAAAAAGAAATCACAATCCCCCTCAAAAAATGCTAGGAAAGGACAGGGATGTGAATCTCATTGTTGACAAAATAACAGAACAGATTAGGGACTGCGAAGAGTAGCCTAGGTCAAACAGAATGCAGGAAAATGTGGAGAAAGGATGCCCCCAGCTGTGTGTCCTTGACACTGCTGATAGAATACACTTCTCCAAATAAGTGTCTCATTTTGGATAAAGAAACCAAAAGTTATTTCTTTACAATAAGGGAAAAAGAATAAGTAAGCAGGGAAGCAGTGAGAGCCTTCAAATACTTCATTTGGTAGAAGGCAAGGGTGAATGGGGGAAAAAACTGATACATTATTTTTGAACCCTGCTTCTTTTCCTAAACGTGGGTGATTTAGGTATTCATTTGTGATAATTCACTGATCTGTATATTTGTTAGGTACCTTTTCCTAATGATATGCCTCCATAAAAATAATTGATGAGGGGACTTCAACTTCTATTTATTGACTTCTGCAACCCAAAGAGAAAGAATGAACTTTCTATTCCAGTTACTATAGCTACATAACAAATTACTCCAAACAACTACTTACTATCTTCAGAGATGTGTACATCAGGAATTCAGACAAAGCATAGCAGAGATGGCTGTGTGCTGCTCCACAGTGTTCCGGTCTTCAGTGAGGAGTCTCCAAGTCTGGGGCAGGAATAACCTGATGACATGTTCACGCACGTGTCTGGAAGTTGATGCTGGTTCACAACCAATTAGAGGATATTCGAATGGACATAAGAGCTCCATCTGTCAGAGCAACGAAACACCAAAAAAGAACAAGGAATATGAAAGATACCTATGAAGAAAAATTTAAAGTTTTAATGTGGATATCAATCAATAGAAAAATACATACTACATTTCTGAGTTTAAAAAAATAGTGAAGAATACAAAGATTTTAATTGTCCCTATGTTAATTTGTAATCTTAATGTGATGTCAATAAAATAAAAACAGGATTCTTTTTTTTTTCTGGTAAAGCAAGCTGATTCAAAGGCAAATTGCATTAGCTGTTCCGCAAGTTTTGACTGGACTCAAATCACATTTGCCACTTTCACAACCGGCCCAAGCCCCCATCAGCTGTCATTTCGGCTACTGAAATAGCCTATCTTGGCTGCCTTTCCATTCCGGCCCTCCTCTCCCTCATTCCCCTGCCCCCACCCATTAATCAAGTCTCTAAAACAGTGTTCCTTTGATAATATCAGTCAAATCCCAACTTTCATTCACCTGTTCCAAAGGCTTTCTCATGCACTTAGAACATGATCCAAAATTCTTAACATGGTCTGAAGGCATTCTAGTACCTGGATCTTTCTCTGACCACATTTCCTACCAGTGCCCTACTTATTAACTCCTCCATTTTTTTGGCTTTTCCACTTTTCTCCAGTCACATTCCACAAACAAGCTTTTCAAGCTCCAGCCTATCAGCCTTTACACTCCGTGTTCTATCTGCCAGTCATACTCTATGGAATCACCTTCATTCCTCCTCAAAGACACTGTCACTGAAACTCCTATAAAAACCTGGGTGTGTATACTGTTTTGGTTTCCTCTTATCATAGATTGATCTATTTGGGGGCTGTTATTTTTCTCTACTAGGAGGTGCATTTCCACAAAAATAGAAACTCCTGACCACTTAAAAACTGGACAGCAAGTGTTCAATAAATATTGAAATGAATGAGTAGAGTCAGAATCATGCTGAAAATTAGCATATCACAAGAACAACAATGTAACCCTAAGCCAGCATGACATAGGTAAAGAGCTCAATCAATGAAACATACGCTAAGGACCAGAAGCTGATCAAATACAATGCCATTTAGTATAAAAAAGAAAAAAAATTCAAATGAGAAGAAAGGTTATTTTGTAATTATTGGCATTTCAATAAAATGAATATCCATTTGGAATAAGAAAATAAAATTAAGCAGAAGTCTTACCTTATAACTTAAACTCCAGATGAATTAAGTATTTAAATATAAAAAAGGACACCCAGAAATACTAAAAAAATTCTACCCATGGTAGAATTTAAAATATCATCTGAAAAATGGGATGAGTTTTATAACTATGGCATAAAGCCCAGAAACCATTTTAAATGTTGAAGACTTTGACTACAAAAAAAATTTTAAATATTTTAATTAAAAAAAAATCACTTTTAAAAAAGCAAAGGAGGGAAAAAAACATTTGCAACTGATATCACACACAAATTGCAAATTTTCTCAAAATAGGATCACTTCCTATAAATAAGGAAATGACAAAAAAAAGTAGAAAAATTAGCAAAATATGTGAATAGATACCATATTGATTTAAAGAATTCTTAAATAGGGACACCAGGTGGCTCAGTCCATTAAGCGTCTGCCTTCGGCTCAGGCCCAGGGTCGGGGGACTAAGCACTGCATGGAGGCTAGCATCAAGCAGCCTCCCTCCACCCCTGCTTCTCCCTCAGCCCTCCACCCCTGCCCCCCTCCACCCCAGCTTGTGTGCACTCTCTCTCTCTCTCAAATGAGTAAATAAAAATCTTTAAAAAAAAAAAAAATTCTTAAATACATGAAAATACGTTCAATAGCATTCAAAGAATGCAATTCAGCTGACAATGACACGTTATTATTTACCTTTATCAATGGAAAGCATTAAAATAAAAAAAAGATGCCACACTGACTGAAAGGGTAGGTATAAGATATCAGACAAACTCATACACTGCTATTAGAAGCATAAATTGTAATGGCTTCCATGAAGAATGTTTATCAGTTATCTACTGCTGCTTAACAAATTGCCCTAAAACCCAGAGGTTTAAAATAACAATAAACATTTATTTTGTCTCAGAACTTCTCTGGGAGCAGTTTAGGGTGGGAAGTTCTGGCGCAGGGTCCCTGTGAGGCAGCAACCAGGATGTTAGGGCTGCAGTCATTTCAAGGCTGGATGATCTACTCCTACAGGGATTCGCACAGCTAGCTAGCAAGTTGATGCTGATTGTTGGTGGGAATCCTCAGATCCTCCATATGCAAGCCTCTCCCTGGGACACTTGAGGGTTCTCATGACATGGCAACTAGAGTCCCCTAGAGCCAGAGATTTAAAAAAAAAAAAAAAAAAAGGTAGGGTGGTAACTGCTATGTCTTCTATGCCCCAGCCTCTGTAGTCACATATCATTTCCCTAATAGCCTATTGGTCACATGGGTCAGCATTGTTCAATGTGGGAGGGGGCTACACAGGAGCATCTATTTCTGAGAAAAAGATCACTGGGGATCATTTTGGAGACTGACTGCCACAGGAAACAAGCTGAAAAATATTCTTCAAAATGCAAATTTTAAATCAATTCTGAAACCATAGTCCCACTTCTAGTTATCCTTTAGATATGCACTCTGATGTAGAAAAGGATATATTCATCTCAGCACTCTTTAGCAGTCACAGAAAAGTGAAATAATCTAAATGTTTATCAATAGGAATCTTATTAAATAAATTATAATGCATCCATACAAGGTGATATACATGTATCTTAAAGGAATTGTAGGCCATAGATAGGATCCACAAAAAGGAAGGGGGAAAAAAAGTGGCGATTGGGATGACCAGAGAGGGAAATTTATTTTTCAGTGAGTTCTCTTTTTTATCTTTAGTATTTTATAAGCAAGTAGAAGAATTATCTACTTTGAAAAAGTGGGGGAAAAAATACATAACTGTTACAGTTTCTATAAAGCTAATTCCCCAAACAAATGTGAGTTGGGCTCCACCAAGCCTTCATGGATTTTTATTTTGTCTTTTTGTGATATATTAATCAATTTGCTACCACCATCATCTTTGTTTGGACTTTCAACCCAGTTCTTCTTTGGGATTTCAACTTGAGTGTACTGATTACCTGGCTTATATTGTATCCCTCAACATTCCTAAGCACAATATTAAACACAGAGAAAATACTCAATACATATCTGCTTACATCAGAGTTTCATTAACATTTTAGGCCAGATAATTCTTTGTTAGAAAGGGCTGCCTTGTACACTGTAGGATGTTTTAGCAGCATCGCTGGCCTCCATCTATCAGATGCCAGCAGCACACTCTAATTTATGACCAAAATGTCTCTGAACATTGCCAAATGGTCCCTGAAAGAGAAGAATCATCCCCAGTTGAGAGCCATTGGTTTAAATAATGACATATACAGTCTTGAGGTGTAGTTACAGAATTTGAAAACAGATTTTAAAGCAACATTTAGTATATATTTTCTACTACAATATAAAAATTTGATATAAAAGAAATATAATACCTTATATACTATACACTAAACAAAGACTAACATTTTTTTAAGTTTTTTTTTTAAGATTTTATTCATTTATTTGACAGAGAGAGATAACAAGTAGGCAGAGAGACAGGCAGAGAGAGAGAGGGAAGTAGGCTCCCCGCCGAGCAGAGAGGCTGATGCGGGCCTCGATCCTAGGACCCTGAGATCATGACCTGAGCCAAAGGCAGAGGCTTAACCCACTGAGCCACCCAGGCGCCCCAAAGACTAATATTTAATACTTTTGTCATTATTCATTTATTATTCTTAATTATTCCTTATTTTACATCCAGAATTGACCTTGCATAGGAAAGTAAAGAATTCAGAACTCCTCATTTAGTGAAGCAGTATGATTTGCAACATGATGAGTGATGGCCTATAATGTGAAATACATCATTTTCCTTTCCCTTTCTTCTAGATGACTAAATGATAGAAAAAAAATTGATTATCAGTATACCAAGGGTATGATTTGGAGTAAATATTCGATTCTTTGATACAGATCACTTCATCAAATAGGGATTAAAACTATATAAAGATTAATTATTCTAACCAAAGACTTAGTTCTGGATGATTTCTTTTAATTGATAACCAATGGTTTACAAACTAGAAATTATCATCTGTGAAATTGGATAAAGAGCCTCACAGCGAGAATGACAGACAGAGTAACACTGAGGATATCTAAGATAAATCATTGTCATCTTACAAACAGCATTATTGGGGATAAAAGGCCTCCATAACACATGAGTAAAGGAATTGCCAAATCTTTTCCTATCTTTAAGATTATCATTTTGTCACTCAAAGTATCTGTGGCATGAAGAACATTTCCCATCTCTTCTACTCAACTTATTTTCCAACTTTTGTGTTGATTCTACCAAAAGGAGAAAAAAGAAAAGAAGAAAGAGGTGCTTGGGTCGTTCAGTTGCTTAAGCCCGACTTAAAAAAGAAAAAGGAAGGGCGCCTGGGTGGCTCACTTGGTTGAGCAACTGCCTTCAGTTCAGGTCATGATCCTGGGGGGGGGTCCCTGCTCTGCAGGGAGTCTGCTTCTCCCTCTGACCCTCCCCCTTCTCATACTATCTCTCTCTCTCTCTCTCTCTCAAATAAATAAATAAAACCTTAAAAAAAAAAAAGGAAGAAGGGAAGGGAGAGGAGAAAGGGAGCAAAAGAATGGAAGATTTTTCTGTGATAGAATAAAATTGTTACAAATCTCTAGTCTACAAGATAAAATTAAACTAGTGGCTTAATTTTGTATTTTCTTTTCCTTTAATTCCATGAAAACTTAGCCAACATCTATAAAGACCATTTTTGGAAAATACTTAAGAAATTTAGTTCTCTAAAGCTTTTATTTCCATACTGTAGTTTTAAATCTAAAGGTATTTTCAGCTTTTAAAAAATTTTTCTCAAAATAATCTGACTAGAGCACAAAATATGAACAACAGGTACTATTTTTAATTCTGACTCCATCTTATTTATACCATCACTGAATAATAGTCCATCTAGTTA